GGGAATTATGTGAACTTGACACAAATTCCCCCCGAATGAACAGCCTGATGCCGAAGCTCCAGCTCGTCGCCCGGCCGAGCCAACTGATGGCGTGGAAACGGTCGACGAAGAGGAATAGGCACCGGTGCAAGGGGAGCCCGAGGCGTAGTCTTGTTTTATTTTTAGCTTTTTTGTTTGATTTGTAAGTTTGGGCCGATAGAGCCCTTTGAATGAATTTTCATGTATTTCCTGGCCGACAAAACTTGTTTTAATACAATTTGCTTGTTTCTGTTAAATACATTGCGTACTTTGATAATTTCAATAGTTAATTAAGCCGCGCCGAATGAATTGTTAGAAGTTGAGTTGATAACGCGGCCGAGGTGAGTCTCGGCGTAGATTTAAAATTAAGTCGCGTCCTTAGCCGAGAGGATTCTCAAGAGGGAAGACTTGTATAAATTGAAATAAAAGCCACATCCTTGGCCTTGTATGAATCAGAAGCCACATCCTTGGCCGAGAGGTATCTCGGGAGGGAAGACTTGCATGAATTGAAATAAAAGCCACATCCTTGGCCAAGAGAAATCTCGGGAGGGAAGACTTGTAAAATTGAAGTCACATCTTTGGCCGAGAGACATCTCGGGAGGGAAAACTTGTATAAATTGGAGTCACATCCTTGGCCGAGAGACATCTTGGGAGGGAAGACTTGACAAAATTTTGCAGAAATATAAAACGAGTCATAGATAGTTGAACTGTATTATCATTGATGAATGGATGCCTCGTTAAAAACCTTGTCAGCCAAAAACCTCTTTTCACAATTTTTTAAGAGGAAAAAAGACCGGTTCAAGGAAAAAAGTGCATCGTAAGACATTTACACATGTACATGAGTTAAATTCTAACTATAATAGGTCTTTAGATGGGTAGAATTCCATGTCCGAGGGATGACCTTGCCAGATAACTCTTCTAATTTGTACGCGCCGTTATTGAAAGCATGTTGGACCCGGAATGGGCCGTCCCAATTTGCTGCCAACTTTCCTTCAACCGGGTTGCGTTGTGCTGAACCAGTTGCCCTCCAAACGAGATCACCTTCTTGGAAGTTCCTCAGTTTCAACTTGGAGTTAACTCGCCGAGTCATTCTCTGTTTACACGCCTCGGCTACGATTTGTGCTTTCTCTCGGACTTCATCTAAGACGTCCATCTCGGCTCGGATCGCGCCATCGTTAGACTCTTCATGGTAGTGCTTCCGTCAGAATGAAGGTTCGCCCACTTCAACCGGTATCATAGCATCCGTGTCGTATGCCAATCGGAACGGAGTCTCTCTTGTGCTTGATTGGGGCGTGCATCTGTATATCCAGAGAACTTCGGGGAGCTCTTCGGCCCAGGCTCCCTTGGCCGTGCCGAGCCGTTTCTTTAACTCGGTCAGGAAAAATTTGTTAGCTGCTTCGGCCTGACCATTGGATTGTCGGTGTTCGACAGACGTGAATCGGTGCCAGATGCCGAGGTTTTCGAGGAAGCTTTTGAATTTCTTATCTGTAAATTGAAGCCCATTGTCGGAGATGATTGCGTATGGGATGCCGAACCGGGTGAAGATATTTTTCCATACGAATTTCTGGACATTGGCGGCTGTTATAGTTGCAAGCGGTTCGGCTTCTATCCACTTGGTAAAATAGTCCACAGCTACTACTAAGAATTTGCATTGGCCTTTGGCGAGTGGGAATGGACCGAGAATGTCGATACCCCATAGAGCTAATGGCCAAGGGGCACTGACCGCGTGAAGCTGCTCGGCCGAGGCATGTATTAGGTTGTCGTGTTGTTGGCATTGCTTGCATTTCTTCACATACTTGGCACAATCGATTTTCAGGGTCGGCCAATAATAGTCGGCCCTCAGCACTTTAGCAGCTAGTGTTCTTCCACCTGAGTGGGATTCGCAAATTCCCTCGTGAATTTCTCGTATGACGTAGTCGGCTTGCTGCTGGTCGATGCATTTCAACAAGGGTGTGGAGTACCCTCGTCGGTATAATTCTCCGGCCACCACGGAGTAGCGTGCCGCTTGGGTTCGAATCTTCTTGGCTTCGATCGGATCGGCCGGTTCTGAGCCGTTAATAATGAAATTCCAGATACCGATCATCCATGTTTGTGGCACTTCATCTACCGGCATACATACTTGTGCAACACTTGGGGTGGGCAACTCCAAGTGTATTGTTGACCGAAGTTGTCCCGGGTTGCGACTACTTGCCAGCCTCGCTAACAGGTCGGCTCTCTCATTATTCCCGGCGGCGTGTGCCTTACTTGTATCTCTTCGAACTGGTTGGCCATTCCCGAAAGAGGTGGTAGTACTTGAGCAGATTAGGGTCTTTCACCTGAAAGTTGTCATTTGCTTGCTTGGTGACAACCTTCGAGTCGGTCCAACATATGACTTTTCTAGCCCCCATTTCGGCTGCTAAGCGCATTCCGGCCAATAAAGCTTCGTACTCAGCTTGGTTATTGGATGCTCGGAAACTGAAATGCAGTGATTGTTCCAAGTTGATGCCAGACGGGCTTTCCAAGATGATGTCGGCGCCGCTACCTTGGCCGTTGGAGGAGCCATCTACCTGCATTATCCAAGTGTTGTCTTCAAAGTGGCCGAGTGGTGATAATTCGTTGATGAAGTCGGCTAGGATTTGTGCTTTGATAGCCCCCCGAGGTTCAAAACGGATGTCAAACTCGGATAGCTCGATTGACCATGCCATCAATCGGCCTGCTAGTTCTGGTTTTCGGAGCACTTTGGCGATCGGGCAATCAGTTCGGACCACCATTGTGTGACTCTGGAAGTACTGCCGAAGGCGCCTAGCCGCGTATATAAGTCCCAGCGCTACCTTTTCCAACAGTTGGTGTCGGCGTTCGGTATCTTGAAGCACTCGGTTGATGAAGTACACGGGTTGCTGTTGGTCGTCTTGTTCTTGTATCATGCCAGCGCTTATGGCCTCGCCCGAAACTGCCAAGTACAGTATTACTTCTTGGTCAGGGGTCGGCTTGGTCAGCACAGGTGGGGTACCGAGCCGTGTCTTAAATAGCTGAAAAGCTATTTCGCACTCCTCTGTCCAATGAAACAGATATGCTTTTTTCAAGAGGCCAAGTATCGGCTTGGAGGTTTCGGCCATACATGGTAGGAAACGTGATAATGCTATCAGTCGACCCGCTAACTTTTGGACCGCTTTCAGGTTTGATGGGCTTCTCATGTCAATAATGGCTCGACACTTGTCTGGGTTAGCCTCGATGCCCCGGCTTGATAGCATGAAACCCAAGAATTTGCCACCCGAGACGCCGAACACACATTTATCAGGATTAAGTCTCATCTGGTGCCTCCGGAGTGCATTGAAAACTTTGGCCAGGTCGGCTATGTGGGAAAATGTGTCGGCCGATTTAACTACCATATCATCTACATAAACCTCCATGTTCTTTCCAATCTGGTCACCGAAGATCTTTTCCATCAGCCATTGGTATGTGGCCCCGGCATTCTTCAGGCCGAACGGCATCACTTAGTAACAGTAGTTGGCGGATTCCGTGAGGAACGCCGTTTTGTCTTCGTCTCGGGGGTGCATACGGATTTGATTATAACCCGAGTACGCATCGAGAAAGGTCAAGAACTTATGGTCGGCCGCGCCATCAACCAATCAATTTATGTTCGGCAACGAGTAGGCATCCTTCGGGCATGCCTTGTTCAAGTGTGTGTAATTGGTGCACATTCGCCACTTGCCATTTGACTTTTTGACCATGACAACATTGGCCAACCAGGTTGTGTACTGGATTTCTCGAATGAAACCCGCTTCTAAGAGCTTGGATACCTCTGCTTCAACTGCCTTTTTTCTTTCTTCTCCCATCTTTCTTTTTTGTTGGGCGACCGATTTCGTCTCTCGGCACACTAAGAGTTTGTGGAACAAAAAGTTGGGGTCGATACCTAGCATATCGGCCGGCCGCCACGCGAAGAGGTCTTTGTTTTTCTTAACGACTTGTCCAATTTCGTGTTTTTCCGTCTCGGACAGGTTAGAGCCCAGGTAGGCAACATGTAGGTCGGTTGGCCCGATAACAATTGGTTGTCGGTCTTCAATCGGCTCGTCCCTCTCGTCCTACTCCATTCGAGGGTCAAGGTCCACAATCGTTTGAAGCTCTTGCGCTACCGTGTGTACACGTTTCACTCCACGCGGCTCGGTCGTTTCAAGACGGGGTAGCCGAAGGCTAGCAAAATAACACTCCCTGGCCGCTTTCTAATCGGCGTGGACCGTGATGATCCGGTCGGATTCCGATGGGAACTTCATGGCTAAGTGTGAGGTCGACACGATAGCACCTAGTTTGTTGAGAGAGGGTCGTCCGAGAAGAATGTTGTATGACGTGTTGGCGTGCACAACCACGTATTTGACCGGGATATCCCGGTTTCAGCTCTGTCATAGCAGAATCGAGTGGATAATTTGATGTATCCTCTGGTTTGGATGCGCTCACTGGAGAATCCGATTAATGGTTCGTTGTATGGAGTCAAGTCGGCCTTTCGGGATACCGAGCTCTTTGAACGTGTTCCAATAGAGGATGTCGGCCAAACTGCCCTGATCGACCAATGTCTTCCGAACAATGCAGTTGTGAATTTCCACACTGATAACCATGGGGTCATCCTGGTCAGGATCGATGCCTTTGAAGTCCGCCTCGGTGAATGTGATGGCCGGCAACCTCTGTCGGGTGTGCTCAACCGCGTGGACAGTTCGGACAACTCGCAGATGTCTTTTTTATGCTGAAGAGGTGGAACCTCCGCCTGCGAATCCGTCGGCGATAGTACTGATGACCCTTCGGGGTTGGGTTGTCGGCTCATCTTCCTTTCGGCCCCTCGACCGGCTTCGTTCCCGGTAGGGACTCTTGTCGGTTTGGTCTTGGTCAGGCTGATCTCGACGGTGCCGACGATCATCGTATCGGGGAGAACGAGGTTGGTTGACAAAATGTTGGAGCTGCCCTTGCTTAATTAAGTCCTCAATCTTGTCTTTTAGAGCTGCGCATTCTTCGGTCTAGTGACCCCGGTTATGATGATATTTACAGGACTTGCTTGTGTCGGCACGTGGAAGGGTTGAGGCTCGTTTTGGTACTGCCAGGACCTCCGAAGCAAGTGCTTGGTCCAATACAGCCGATCGACTGGCATTTAGCGGAGTGTAATGAGAGTACCTCGGTCCACGAATAGGCTTGTCTCTTGGGACAAGGTCCTTGGGGCAGCTTTGGTAAGAGCTTTCGGCCGGCTTCTCGGCTTTGGCCGCTACCTCCGCCTTGGCCTGATTGCGAAATTCCGCAAGTTCCTCCATCTGTATATATTTGTCGGCACGGCGTCTCAAATTGTCCATGTCAGACGGGGTTTCTTGCAGATGCTGTTAGCAAACAGTCCTGGCTTTAGAGCTGTAGTCAGATGATGGAGAGCGACGCCCGGATTCAGGTCTCAGATTTCAAGAGCCACTTTGTTGAATCGGCTCATGAAGGTCCGAAGGGATTCCTTCTTCTCTTATCTTATGCTCACCAGTGCGAGGGAGGTTAGTTGGTGAGGCCTGCTGGTGGCAAACTGGATAGTGAACTGGGATGCTAGGGTGTTAAAAGAGTCGATCGAGTTCGCCAGGAGACGAGTGAACCAACTCAATGCTCTTCCCTTCAAAGATGTTGGAAAAATGTGAAACACGACGACGTCGTCAGTGGTGCTGAGAGTAACCTGGGTGAGGAACTTCCAGTGGTCGAGGAGGGAGGATTGCATGATATTTGGGGTGAAAGGGTGTCGGTGTGCTCCGGTTGGTGGAGCGTACGCGGGTTGGCCGGTTACATGGGCAGCCGAGGCATGGTTTCCCGGGGCGACTACAGAGGTGTGAGGGAGAGAAGTGTGATGTCCGTGGGAATGGAACGACCCCTGGGTGTGGGTCGGTTCGGAGGGTTTCCACGTGGGATCCTGGTTTCGTTTTTTCAAGGCGGCGTTCTCTTCCCTCAAAGCGGCCATCTCACAAGCGTCTTTCTCTCATTGTTGCTTCATGGGCACTACAAAAAATATGCAATTTAGCGACCACCGAAATCGGTCGCTAAATTGCAAAAATCGGTCGCTATTTACCTTAGCTACCGAATTTAATCAGTCTCTAAAACCCTGGTCGCTAAACTATTTAGCGACTGAAAAATTTTCGGTCGCTAATTCGGTCGCTAAATGGTTGAAATCATTCTGGTCGCTGAAGTATATGGGACCAAATTAGTGACCGAATAAATCGTCGCTAAATATTTATTTTTTATTTTATTAAATTTTATAGATGTCGCAAATTTGGTCGCTATGAACCACTCATATTTGGCCTCTTAAGGATTTTATTTCACAATACTTAAGTTTTTAGCATGTTTTGTCCTCAATTACACAATTTTTGGAAACTTCCCAGAAGGTCACCCATCCCTGCATTACTCCAAGTCAAGCACGCTTAAGTGTGAAGTTCTTATGAGATAAGCTATCGAAAAGCCAATGCATGTTGTTAGTATAAGTAGTACAAATTAATTCATTTAAGTTATCCTCAACTATATAATCTCATACTTATATTATTTTTGGATCCTTATCATTTTGGTATATCCGGACCGTTATAAATATATATTAATATATATAATAATTATATTACTAATAATAATAATTATATTATATTTAATTAATCTTTATTTATATATATACTTACTTTTATAATTAACAATCTACTTATTTCTATTTAAAATTAATTTTATGATACAATTTAAATTATTTATTATAAATTTAAAAGTTTAAGTAATAATTTATATATTTTAAAATGAGAAGGGTTATAATAACACTGGTATAACTTTTACTAAGTATTACACCGCTC